CTTTGACCTCGACCAGTCTAATAAGCCCAATACATCAACCCTTTCCTAAACCAACAAAACCAACGCACCTCCAAACAATCTTCACCAAATCCCCTCGCAGAAGCCCAAATCAAACACAGTCCGAAACCAAAGCCACCCAGAAATTACAAGGCTGGTTGCGACATTGGATGTCAAGGCGCTCCCGGGGGCAGGGGGGCAGAGATGTGGGAATGTGAGGTCTCAGGGGTCAGAGCAAATGGTTTTTGCAGCTTGCAACTCCGTTCCACTGCTGCCCAGTCGCAAAGACTCTGGAGACATGGCCTTGGAGCTCCTAAAAGCCCGAGACCCACCTGAAGCCCACACAAAGGGAAGACTCCAAATCAAAGGAAAGAAGTCTCTGTGTTTTGTGAACGTTTTGCGAACCTTGGATGCAAACCAGTCCACGAAAAAGTCTTCGTGGATTCTCGACTTTCGAGGCTTCATTTTGCTATTTACTGTTTACCATGCCATGCGAAATCCCATGCCATACGAAATCTTCATCCTACCTTGCCCATGGAGTCTCCATTTCAAGAATCCTGAATGCAGGCCATTGCCCTTGGTGGACTTGATCTGTGCTAAACTTAGGGCATTGCTCTGACTGTAGGATTGCTTTTGAGGTGCAGACTTACTCCTTCGTTCGAGCTTCTTTCTTTCACTCGAAACAATGGGCGAAGGTGCGGACTTCGAAGTGCTTCCGTTGGTGACTTTGCGCAACTGTCTCAACCACTCAAAGACCCCAGGCCTCTCCGAAAGCACCGGTCCCCGACACTACTGTACCACAGTATGCTGAAGTAGACTATAAGTTCCGGCTTGCGCGATCCTGACCCGCTTCTGTAGCGAGGTGCTGTCTCGGATCTTTCCTCAGCTGCCAGGGAGCCGCCACCCAAACCTACGTCTGAGGAAAGAAGCTGTACTCAACGAGTTTCCTACAATTCTTCTCCTTCGTTCTTCAGGACCACATCGTACCCCAACCATGTCAGATTCTTGCTGACACACCATCTCTCAGAAGAACCATTGCAGACACCTATGCATCGCTGCAGGTGCTAGACTTACCAATTATTGATCGTCTGAAACTTTAACCTGAGGTTCCGCACCTGCCCGAATCGACCCGCAGCCAATGACGAGTCATGACTATATACAATGGTACATACGATGGTCTCTGTAGTATACGGGGGCAGAGAGAGAGAAGCGTTGCTGCAACTCCCCAAGCCCGAAGGTCCATACGAGAAAACGTCGCAAGAACGAAAACAGCTCAAGAGAAACTACGAATACGACGAGTCTGGAGCAAGCTAATTCTATAGAGTTCTATAGAGTATGCGTTGCTTTCTATACTTGGGTTTTGCGACCACTCAGAGAAGCTTCCAAGCTCCCGTTTGTCGAGCGCCGCTTCTCCATCTTCTCGACGTCTGTATGCGACCTCGACAAGCGGCGGTTTTCAGGGATTCGGGGGTTCGTTGATTCGGGGCTTGAGCGAGTAGACCTTTAGATAGGTGACTGGCCCTCCAACGGGTTTAGGCGTAGCTGGCAAAGAGACTCAAGGAAAATGTAGGTACCCAGGATACGCTACAGTTTACTTTAGTAGTATCTTGCCCCATACGCTACTACGAAAAACACGCAGCTCCAAGGGGGTGCAAGGGAACACGTTCGGGGCTGAATGGGGCTTAACATGCAGCATAAGCAGGTTGTCATCGAACTCGTTCTAGCAGTAGTGGAAAGTAGCCGAGGAGGAGGAGGAGCAGCAGCAGCATGCTGTCAGTCATATGGACGTAGTTGTTACACTGCTGGCAAGAAGAGCGCATGTTACTTGTGATTGCGCTGCAGGGGTTATGCGGCTGGCTGCTCAAGGTTTCTCCTGCTTTCGTGAATTATGCGTTGCACAGACCCCAACGAGCATGACGCTGCAAAGCCGCGTGCACGTTGCAAAGGGGAGTTGTGAGAGTATAGGGGTTCCTGGGCACTTGGTTGCATAGGGAGTAGATCGACTGTTCTTGTGTCGTGTTTTCCGGCACTAGAGGCCAGCTGAGCCAAGATGCATGTCCATTTGCATGTCGTTGACCTGCCCTTCATTGATCTCGTGGGTTGGGTCCTGGGCAGCATGCGTGAGAAGTGGAGTTAGAGGCGGAACATCCAGAATTGGAGCACATCGCACGCTGTACTCCACAGACCACTTCCTCCCAATGCTTGTCCTGCCCACAACTTCACATACAAATCCACCGGAACCCACTCGCAATCTCCAGGCTCTACAGAAGCCACCGAGCTGTCCGCTCCAACCCTGAACCCCTCCAAGCCTCATCCTCCTGGCTCTGCCAGTTGTCGGAGACCTGACGCCATACTCGAGCATAGCCTACATTATACTGATTATACTGTATAGTATAGCAACGATGATATGCTAATTTACTTTACATACATCGCTGCAGACATTGCCTGCGTAACCTAAAAAATGTATAAGACCCTGGTACCGACGCGAACACACTTGACATCATCCAACAAGCGGCCATGTCCTTTCAGGGCCCTATGTTTCTCCCTATGCGATGACACCGCTCTAGCGAAAGAGAAAGGAGGAACTATCTGCACCCTAGTTGCTTTTCAGGGCCAACAGCAGAAAACAAAACCACTTGCACGATCATGCTGCAAAAACAATCGCATCCTTCCATCTGGAACCCTAAACACTACCCTGCATCGGAAAGGATGGAAAGAAAACACCCACCTGGACACAAGCGACATGGACCAGCTCTGCGTTGTTGTGCTGGCAACATTCATCGACGCAGCAAGCCAGGACGGCCATCGAGGCGCGTTTTCTTAACTCGCGCCCTCTTTTCACTTTTGGTTGCCGGTATACAGGACCCCCAAGCTCTGTCCCTACTGCTCGCAAGGGGTCTTGAATATGTCGGAACGGTGTAACGGGCTTTGGGGTGACAAAGGGGCGTACACTGTTCTGCCTATAGGATGGAACAGCTTGAAGGCGCAGCTAATGGGTTTTCACAGCTGATGTATATTTAAGACAACTAACGCTCGATCGAAGGCAAGGCACTTGTAAGCATATTTCTTATTTGAGAAGATAACGGCTGACGGCTACCACACTAAGCTTCCACAGCTTGCACTCGCACCGATTCTTTTGTCCGGCTCTCAGAAAGTTTGTGTGCCTTGGGGGAGGAGTCGCATTACGTTGGCAATAGACCACTGGGGTGCGGACGGCAATAAGTAGGCCAACCAGCAAAGAACAACAAACCCTCCGGCACATCACTCGTCTCAAAATTGAAATCTGTAAGCCGTTGGCTCAAGGCTGCTCTGGCTCGACTTGATTAAGCCAACATCGGGAAGGTAGGGACAGAGGAAACTAGCTTAGGAAGCCCGGGGGGGGGGCGCAGCACCCCCATTTGCAAACCCCATGCTCGCGTGATAGACTTGGACAGGATTCGTACGCTGTACGCTTGGAAGCGAGCTGGCACGGATGAAAGAGCGGGGGGGCTGGCTGGGGGGGGGAGTGGGAATTTGCAAAACCAATAACCTGGAGGTTTGGGGGGTTCAGGGCGTCGGAGTTGGCCTGTCCGATGGGGCTGAAACCCCCATGCCCCCAGCCAAAAGCACACCCGAATTGGTCCACTTTGGGTGCCCCCCCACCAGACCCTTTAAGCTTTCTGGCAGAACAAGTTCTGGAGAGCTTTCGTAACTGGATCTGAGACACAATTTATGACACACAATACAGGTGAGTAGGGTTTAGAGTTTAGGGACAGAGGTCACTGCTGATCTCGAAGTACTGGCTCAAGTCCATTGGCCATCGAGGGAAATCGCACGGAGCAAGTTGGATCCTGAGCCCGTCAGCTTGCCAAACAAGCTAACGGATTTGGAGTAGCTATACAAGCACAAATCGCATGAAGTTACATGCTAGAAGGAACAGCATGTCTGGATCTCCTGGAGACATACCAAGCACATGCGCGCTCGGAGTATGTTCTTTTTGGAAACGGTGTGCATATGTCACATCTCAAATCCACACACACACACACAGACACATTGTGGCGAAGCCTTCTTCCCTTGGAGAGAGAGAGGGAGAGAGACACTTACTTACAGCCGTTGAAGGGCCATGCTCGCCACGTATCCGACAGGCATGGCAAGTAACGTGGTCGAGACTCTCCCACTCAAAGGAACCGTGGACCCTGCATTTGGCACTTCACTTTAGCATCTTTCGAGCGGGCTAAGTGCCATCTGGCCGACCAAAAGCCTCTCGAAGGCAGGCAGTCGCTGAACAAGACCAGCGCTTCTGCCAAAGAGAGCACTTGTCAACTGTTTGTGGTGCTTACGGTGCTCCATGCTCTGTGGCTTCCCGCGCCAAGGCGATATTTGCTACTAGGTTACTCCGAGTTTTTTCGGGCAAGAGGGCGTAGGGGTTAAACACCATCTCCCCCAACATGCGACCTCTCGCGCCAGGTGTTTTATGCGCACTACGCACGGTATACCAAGCTGCAAAGGCCGAGGCAAAGCCCCACTCTACGAGAGACATCGAGCCATCCCGCTACAGCCTCTGACCTGTTTCAGGCAAGAGGACGATGGGATCGCGGAAAGGAAGGCGCAAGCGCAGTCACGCGCCGTCACGCGCAGTCACGCGCAGTCGCAAAGAGGCGCAGCTGGAGAACTACGAGCTTCAGGCTGGAAGGCTCCGGATCTGCACGCTGGGCCGGGAAGGGCTGAGGACCTGGATGTGGACGCTGGCGCCGTGGCCCTCGCTGTAGAGGCCTGGGAGGCGGCGCAAGTCCTGGATCAACTCGGGGGCGACGTCGTCGACCAGGTCGGGAGGCATCTCGAACATGAGGAAGACGTGCTTGGAGCCTTCCTGGATGAGGCCCAGGCGGGATTGCTTGTAGGCCAGGTGCCGGGTGACGACGTTGCCCGTGGTCTCCGTGTCCGCGCCCTCTGCGATGTAGTTCACCTCGCCAGGCTCCACCTCCACCGGCCGGCCACCTTGACTGTCTAAGGCCAGGAAGCTGTCACCCTTCTTGGAAAGCCGCAACCGGAGATCCCCTGGCATTGCTTCCAAGTCGAAGCCGCCGCCAGTGACCACGTGCTTGACGGAGAGGGTGTTGTAGAAGTCTACCAGAGGGTTTACCGAGAAGCTCTTGCCCTTCTGGTCCAGGGGGGGACTGCATGGACTGGACTGTAGGCTCTCGCCGGGCACCCTTTGTCAGGAAGAGGTTGTCGGAGCCCCGGTCCTTGAGCTCACTGGTGTAGCGCTTCCAGACATCGAGCCGACCCCTCTTGGCCTCGAGCTTCTTGCCAGCGACCATCTTGCAAACAGAGTCGAAGTGGCCTTTGATCCAGCCCTCGGCGTCCAGGTTCGGAGCATTCAGCACCAGTGCCGTGACCACGTGGAGGCCGGGCAGCTTCTCGAAGACGCCCGGCTCGATGGTGAAACGAGCACAGCGCGTCTCAAGGGGCAGATCCATCGGGAGAGCGTCCTCGTCGAAGCTCTCGGTGACCCGCTTCGCGTACACGTGGTACTTGAACTCCTGGCCAAATGCTGCCAGTGCTCAAGAAATCTCGAGGCTTGCTGCTGGTGCCGGTGCTTGCTGCATCCCCCTCAGCCCTGAATGCCCTGAAAAACCCGGCAATGTTCCCAAGAACTCCCAAGAACTCCCAAGCGCCACCTGCTCCTCTTGGCTCCGGAGCTGCTTGATGTAGTCCAAGTTCACCGGGGAGTGCTCCAAGAACTCGACGGCCACCTCTCCGGAAGCTGTAGTCGTGGCATCCGTCTGCCTCAAGCGCTCGATCCAGTCCCGAACTCGAGGGAAGGGGTACTTCTCCAAGTTGTGACCCGCCGCCTCCACCTTCTCCCGGGCCACGAGGTCGTCGGCGCTCGGCACCTCCGTGCCGCGCAAGAAGCGGTACTTCTCCAGATGCGCCTCCAGCAACGACAGCCCGGCGCCGCAATCCAGGTAGTAGAGCTGCAACTTGAGATTGCACATCCGTAGGAGCTGCGGTGGTGTAGCAGAGGGCACTAAACCACGCAAGCTGAAAAAGCCCAGGGGGCAGAGCTGTTGGGGGCGCTGCGGTTCACCGACGGCCTGTACTGCTTTCCGTCGCTTCCCTACATTTCCCACTCATTTCCCTACAAGCAGCCACAAGCAACTGATCACATCCATGGCCTGTCATGGCCTGTCCAGCAGTCAAAAGCGAGATGGTATTGGGCCTCACCTGCTTCAGGCGATGCCAAACGGCAGCAGTGCTCCCCCGAGTTTCGTGGGGGCTTCCTGGGCTTCCGGAGAAACCTCGGCTCTCTCTACCTGTTTCAGGCGCGAGCGCCGAAGCAATAACAACGGCAGAGCAGCTTACCGACTGAAGCTGCCCAAGCGGTATACCGTTCTTTTGGGCCCTTGGACCAAAAGGCCTGTAGCTTGTCATTCACTAACATTTGGCACTGCTGTCGGTAAGCCGGCTCTTCCGCCATCAGAAGGCCGTGAAGGCTCCGTAGCCTGAGTTGGCTCCCCCTTCTCCCGCGGGCCGCAGTCACAACAAGCACGCCATGCAAGTGCAATTCAAAGAACCTGAGGCACAGGCTGATGAAAGGGAACTTTTGGGTAGAGATGGTGCAATGTGTGGAAGCCATCATTCAGTGGATGGAAGATCCATCGGTGCAGCAGGCCGATGTTTGAACGGGTCATGGTCCAGTGTCCTGCGAGGAAAGCCTTGCGACCCTGCGCATCCTCTGGCGGATCTCCGACGAGCCCGCCATGTTCCTCTAGGGGTCCGGGCGCACGTTGACTCACATTGACTCACAGTGGCAACACAGTGGCTCACACACTGGTTGCTGATGTGATGCAGACTGTGCTTCACTCCGAGCGTCTGCATGCTCGGCATACATACGAAGCACCGGAAGAATCAAGATGTAGCTGGAGAGCCACACTGCCACTCCAGTCCTCCAAGCCTGCAGCTTTTGATCACACCAAATGCACTATAAAGCACCCTTGCTGCGTGGTAGCCTGAATAAAGAGACCTCCAATCCCAAAGAGGACACAGATCTTCAGCAGATAGTGGAGGCGGATGTTTCCCAAGTTCTCCTTGTACCATGCCTTGGCAGAGGTGCACGCAGATCACAACCCCGTCCCCCCCCCTTTGCCCAACCCACACGGCGAGGCCAGTGATCCTGGTCTTCACACACGGCTGCGCAGGGCGTGGCCGAGGTGGGCGTAGCGTTACAATTATCTCACCATACATACACTAGCACATTACGGAATATTTTCTGGCACATACATACCAATGGTTTCATCTCTGCATTGAGCCCTGAAGCATCCACCTACCTGAATCACGAAACGCCCCAAAAGCACAGGCGTTAACCCCTCTCCAAGGTGATTGACAAACGTTAGTGGGCAAAAAACTACGTAAACACTTTTGCTGTGCAGCAACTGCTGGATCGCAGCACTCACGTATACAACCAAAGAACTACTTGAATTTCGGTCAGAACTTTTGCAGGATTCTTGTGAGGTGTTCAATTTCAGGTTCGTGGAGAGAACAACAACTGCTGCACAGTCCATATGTTTACTATCTCCGCAACCAGAGCATCGAATTTGGGCTCTTGGAAAACGAGGAGGCATTCCTTGAAATCATCGCCAGCAGCTGGGCAATCCGCAATTTGATATATACATCCAAAATGAAAACTAGACCGTACTCCCCAGCCAATGGCCGTTCCAATGAAATCCAAACTTGTGTGAGGCTGCCAGGAGTCACAATGAGTCGGTTGTAACTAGTACACGTTCCTTTCGTTCCTTTCAATTATCATCAACAGCTCGGCAGTCCGAATTTCGTTTGCATGGTACATACATTTACGCTTGACTAAGAAACGGACACTTCCTGTGAGGTCCCAAAAAAATTGTACCCGTTCCAAAAGCTAACAAAGTACAATAGGGTTCGAGTTGTTTACAAAAACTTACAAAACAGAGCGAATCAGGAACTCTGAAGAAAAACTTGGCGACTGGCTCCAGTGAGTCGGGCTCGCGCCGACGAGACGAAATGTCAACGGTGCTTGTCCCAGACGCACTGAAATTTCCTGAATTTCTATCAAGCAATGAGTATCCCCACATACCAACTCGGATTTGGGTCTAGCTGGTGCCTGGTACTTGCAGCCAAAAACGATTTTGTCTCGATGCTTCTCGATGTTCTCAACTGTTTCTCAATTATCGGGTTTCAGCCTAAGACATTGCGATCGGTTTATTGCGGGCTTTGCACCGACTGCCTAGACTTTTGAACCAGCTTGGCCTCATTCTGACAGAAGCCTGAATGCTCTCGACTCGAGCCTTGTTGTTACTACCTTAGGGTGGCCCTGCTTGGTGTCTCGTCGATATGCAACAAGGTCAACAACAAAAACAGCTGAACTGACCGTTTCGACAAAGACCTGTTCTGACATAACCAATGCAAACTTGCGGTTTGGACGAGTCCGCTCCGCGAGCATGACAGCCCCAGTCCCCAGTAGCAAAATGAGCTGGAACACGATGGCACTGTTTTCATCGAGGTCCCTCCGCGCATTCGCTGGATTTCGCGAGCCTTCTCAGATTTGCGCGCCCGCTCAAAAAATTGAGAAGGCCACGTCACTTGGAGAAAATGGACGAATGTGTGGCGGAGCGGATCTCCTCTTCCACTAGTCTTTCGCGTGCTCTTCCGCGCATTCGCTGGATTTCGCGAGCCTTCTCAGATTTGCGCGCCTGCTCAAAAAATTGAGAAGGCCACGTCACTTGGAGAAAATTGACGAATGTGTGGCGGGCCCTTCTCTTTTCCGTACAACTTTGCAGCAACATCACAACAAAAGAAACGGCAGAACTGACCGCAACAAAATGGCGCTGTCAATGCAAACACAAATTGCGGTTTGGACGAATGAATCTCCGCTGCGAACGTGAAGAACCACAGCAGCGAAAAGAGCCGCAATATCGCATACTCCTATCCATTCGACACAGAAGCCCGTGGAGAATAATAAGTTCCCGCCATGAAAACAAAACAGAAAAGTTACGTGCTGCTTGTTCGAGAATAAATACTCCGGGAACCTGGTTAGTCCTAACGGTGTAAGAGTTTAAGGATCCCTGCACTCAGCAGTCACGCGGCGGTATGGCATCATGTGGTCGAGTGCGCGAAATCGCTACGGAACCTGTAGTCTCACTTAAGCCTTGCACTGTCGAATTATTGGCACGTCTCTCCGACCACGCATCGCACGCCTCTGACAGCGGCGGAAATTCAGAAGTCTGCCGGAGAATGCTCCAGACAGGCTCGCCTTGAAGGCTTGGCTTCAAACAGTCCGAGCTGCCCAGAGCACAGCTGGCGCTTGGTCTCCCAAAGCTGCCCTTCGGTAGATGATCCGATCTGGGTCCTGGCACACATCCCATTTGATGCATTGTGATGCACAGTCACTAGCAGCAATGGGAGGCTTCAACAGTCCTCCTCAAGACCGAAGCGGGCATGATGCACTTGATGGCTTCGGCGGTATGATGCGATGTCCTTGAAGACGAGAGCTCCTGCAGCGAGAGGCATGTCCGAACCTCTCTGGCTTCTGCCGCCTGCTAAAAGCATTCTCCAAACAAAGTTGGCAAGCCTGCCATCCGGGCCATCACACCATCGTTCCAGGCACGCGTCTCGAAGGCGTTGCCATGCCTCGGCACCAGATGCACTCAGCCTGCAACATGCTGCATGCAGGCCAACTGAGGCCGACAGTCATATGTGAGAGCTGTGGGACTTTGGGATGCGAGCCCTTCGATGCCTGCACGTCGATGTGAAGCGGCGGAGGTCAGAGAATCTCTGCTATGAGTTTATGAGCTTGATCTATGTTTGTCGGAAGTTGCAAAGTGCACATGTAAGATGGAAGTGAATGGAAGCTGAAGTACAGCAACAAAGGATGGTACGAGCATTCATGCACGAAGTTCTCCAAGGCCCGCTGTGCCACAGCTGTTGCAAGCAGAAGCACTACCAGCTGCGCCAGCTGCAGGAGCTGCATCAGTTGCGCACACAGACAACCAAGCCATCCCAATGAGAGCATTGCCACGGTGGCTGTATACAGAAAGGGTGTCAGAACTTCGTGACCCAGAACCCAGTGCCAAACGAGCGCTGCTGCTGCAAGCAGAGACATCATGTAGATGCTGTACTGGGCTTGCCAAACCTCAGTGGCCCAGTGGCTAGCGCGGTAGCCCGGATATGCCATTCACAAGAAGCAAGATGAGGTCGTGGCACAAAACGCCGACACCCAAAGAGCACCCACCTCACAGGGACGTTGGCTTACCGCTTCAAGCTGCAAGGAGCAGCCCAACCTCCAGCAATATGACAGTACCATGCTTGTCGTCAGGCGTGGCCGCATCTTGTAGCATCTTCATAATCTCAGGGCTCATCACACCCCTGGCCCTCTACCGCTTCACGCCCCTCGATGCCTTGAGAACGGGTCTGGCATGCGACCGGCTCACACGTCAACTGAGGCCATGAAGTGCCCATCTCCCCAGCATGCGACCTCTCGCGCCAGGTGTTTTATGCGCACTACGCACGGTATACCAAGCTGCAAAGGCCGAGGCAAAGCCCCACTCTACGAGAGACATCGAGCCATCCTATAGCCGCTACAGCCTCTGACCTGTTTCAGGCAAGAGGACGATGGGATCGCGGAAAGGAAGGCGCAAGCGCAGTCACGCGCAGTCACGCGCAGTCTCTTTGCGCAGCTGGAGAACTACGAGCTTCAGGCTGGAAGGCTCCGGATCTGCACGCTGGGCCGGGAAGGGCGGAGGACCTGGATGTGGACGCTGGCGCCGTGGCCCTCGCTGTAGAGGCCTGGGAGGCGGCGCAAGTCCTGGATCAACTCGGGGGCGACGTCGTCGACCAGGTCGGGAGGCATCTCGAACATGAGGAAGACGTGCTTGGAGCCTTCCTGGATGAGGCCCAGGCGGGATTGCTTGTAGGCCAGGTGCCGGGTGACGACGTTGCCCGTGGTCTCCGTGTCCGCGCCCTCTGCGATGTAGTTCACCTCGCCAGGCTCCACCTCCACCGGCCGGCCACCTTGACTGTCTAAGGCCAGGAAGCTGTCACCCTTCTTGGAAAGCCGCAACCGGAGATCCCCTGGCATTGCTTCCAAGTCGAAGCCGCCGCCAGTGACCACGTGCTTGACGGAGAGGGTGTTGTAGAAGTCTACCAGAGGGTTTACCGAGAAGCTCTTGCCCTTCTGGTCCAGGGGGGGACTGCATGGACTGGACTGTAGGCTCTCGCCGGGCACCCTTTGTCAGGAAGAGGTTGTCGGAGCCCCGGTCCTTGAGCTCACTGGTGTAGCGCTTCCAGACATCGAGCCGACCCCTCTTGGCCTCGAGCTTCTTGCCAGCGACCATCTTGCAAACAGAGTCGAAGTGGCCTTTGATCCAGCCCTCGGCGTCCAGGTTCGGAGCATTCAGCACCAGTGCCGTGACCACGTGGAGGCCGGGCAGCTTCTCGAAGACGCCCGGCTCGATGGTGAAACGAGCACAGCGCGTCTCAAGGGGCAGATCCATCGGGAGAGCGTCCTCGTCGAAGCTCTCGGTGACCCGCTTCGCGTACACGTGGTACTTGAACTCCTGGCCAAATGCTGCCAGTGCTCAAGAAATCTCGAGGCTTGCTGCTGGTGCCGGTGCTTGCTGCATCCCCCTCAGCCCTGAATGCCCTGAAAAACCCGGCAATGTTCCCAAGAACTCCCAAGAACTCCCAAGCGCCACCTGCTCCTCTTGGCTCCGGAGCTGCTTGATGTAGTCCAAGTTCACCGGGGAGTGCTCCAAGAACTCGACGGCCACCTCTCCGGAAGCTGTAGTCGTGGCATCCGTCTGCCTCAAGCGCTCGATCCAGTCCCGAACTCGAGGGAAGGGGTACTTCTCCAAGTTGTGACCCGCCGCCTCCACCTTCTCCCGGGCCACGAGGTCGTCGGCGCTCGGCACCTCCGTGCCGCGCAAGAAGCGGTACTTCTCCAGATGCGCCTCCAGCAACGACAGCCCGGCGCCGCAATCCAGGTAGTAAAGCTGCAGCGGTTCTGCTTGATGTGCTCTCTCTACAAATGCCCTCCTGGCGATAGCCGATCCATTTGGTCCCAAAAAGGCATGCGCAAACCTCGCGACGCACAGAGTCTTGGCAACATAGGAGGAAATCATCACGCTTGCCGCTCTTGCCACTCGCTGTGTCCACCCAGCTTTGGCCATTGCTGCGCTACAGGGTTGGACACTCCAAGAATCTAAATGGCTGGGAGTTCCGTTGCACCTGATCCTCTCCAAACTGATACGAGACGTGATTTGCATCCGTATGCCACAAGACGAGCGCCTTCCTGGCCACAGGAGGACTGTTTCATATGTTGCGAACAGAGACCTTCAGCAACCTGCGATATGGAAGTACGTACGCAATGGGAAGTAACCAATGGCCCCCTCTTCTGTCTGTGCTTGGGGGGGGGGGCAGGATGCGGGATGCGCGGGCGGGATGCGGGGGACGCGCAGGACTTGGGGGCAAGATATGTAAAAAGCCAATTAAACATTTTTGTACCAGTTGGTAAGGATATTAAGATTGTAACTCCTGCACAATAAGCTCTTGTATCGCTTTCTAAACCTACAGTATACATATGATGCCCCCAAACAAGACTTCCAAGAAGAGAAATAAATGACATGGCAAAGATCATTGCTTGGTTACCAAAGAGTATTGATTGTAAAATCATCCCAAATGCAGGAAGTAATAAATTTAAACTTCTGGATGTCCAAAAAACCAAAATAAATGTTGATAGAATATAGGATCTCTTCCAAGTCTAGGGCCAAAGAAAACTGTATTAGGATGAAGATCACCCAATATTAAAAGAAGTGTACCAGATAAGATTGGTAATGCAGCATGAAAGCTGTAATCAAGAAAGCCCACGGAAAAAATGGGATCAAAACTTAGAAAACATTGCGACGTCTGCAATCCTGGCAGCCGTCAGCGTCGACGAAACCACCAAAGCGCACCAAAATTGAATCGCCCAATTGAAAAGCCACCTCAGCATCCAAGGCATCAAACATTCCCAGAATTTCCAAAGATCCACCAATGATCCACAGTTCTCTTTTGTCCATGCAACGAATCGCAGAATGTGCAAAACGAGACCGCCAAGCATCCACACATAAGAGTTGAAAAAGTCACTCTGAGGACCAAGTGCCGTTCCAAGCACAGATCCCAGTCGCTCTGAACCAGTCCACGCCGGCTGCAGGATCAAAAACTATTTTACTTCGAACATCCCCACTCTCTTGGTAGAGATACTCTGGGTTTGGGCGCTCCAACACTCTGGGGCTGGGGCACTCCGGGGACACTCTGGGTTGGGGTTGGGCACTCTGGGGCTGGGCACTCCAGAAAGACTCTGGGTGGGCACTTCAGGAAGAGTTGGGCACTCCAGGGAGACTTTTGGGGTTGGGCACTCCATGAAAAGTTCAATGGAGCAGTTTGGGATACACTTTCAGGTATCACAACATTCACAGCAGTGAGCAATTCATCAGTCACACTTGTTTCAGCACTTGAACCTTGAGCCAAAGCAGTGACGACAGCTTTGGTCAGATCAGGCAGTGGATACTGCCAGGGCTCTAGAGGGAACAGTGTATTCTAACACAGTCCCTTGAGTCAACACTTCAGTGTTCGACTCACATCAGTCGTCTCGGCCATTGCGAGAAACTTAGTAGCAGTATACTGACAAATCAATACCATCACATATTGCAGTAAACTCATCCAAAGCAGCAGTAACGAATCAGGCTCATCCAGTGCTTTTGCTTTCAAATTGCGAACAGTATCAGCAGCAGGCCTGTACAGTGCTGCTAGGTCTTGCTTCAGCTTTGCAGCTCGCAAGACAGTCACCAAGACCAGTGAGCTGTCGGCAGTTGCAGCTTACTTTGCGACCAAGCCAGTTTCAAGGGCTTCAGTGACTCTGCAGTCACTCATCTTCTTCAGTCGGAAAGGGTCCCCAACTCAGAGGCCAGTCTAATGTCAGTGACATGGCATGAGTGGATACCCCCATCGACTATCTGCAGTTCACTGCAGTATCTCACTCCGCTGGCGAGACAGTGATTGAGACTTGATGCTCAGTCCCAATGGCTCGCCTCAGGCCAGTGACCACAGTGGTCAGAGCAGTCGCTTGGGCCTTGTCACCACCAGTGCCAGTGCCTCCTGGTCTCCACGAGCCAGTTGGCACATCATCGTCAGTGATGAACTCTCCCAGCTGGATGGCAGTTGCCTCAGTCCAAACAGTCGCCCCGATGACGATGTGACGACAGTTTGCCAGTCATCAGCAGTGGATCGGGCGAACAGATCCTTTGGCTTCCAGCCGACCAGTGTCCAGCGACGGATGGACCCACACTCTTGGGCATTCAGTGTGAATGGCACCTCAGTGAGCCCGGGGTCAGTGGTCACGATGTAATCACTGTACCTGCGATTGAAAAACCGCAGTGTGCCTTCAGTGACCAGATCGATGAAATGCACAGTGGTGAACCGAAACGCCACCAGTGTCCACGTCTGCTCAGCAGTGTCAGTGGACTCCTCGGTCTGTGTCTGCCACAGTCGCCACGGCGCCACAGTGCAGCTCGAGCACTCATCGACAGATTGAACTGTCCAGCATAGATTCCTTCCAGTGAAAATTGGCCAGTCGTCCGCAGTGTCTCAGCATCTTCACTGCGAAGACAAATCCAGCAGTGCTTTGCCACCAGTGTTTCAGAAACACTTGATGGTTGGCGATTTTCACTCTCCAGTCTCTTGAACAGTGTAGCCTCTTCCTTGGTGTATTCCGAACACCAGTCGATGAACGGAAACAAATCCACAGTTTCCTGCACAGCATCGATGATGACGTCAGTGCAGTCAACCAAGGTGTTCAGCACGGTCGGCGGCAGTCGGATCCTCTCCGACCCATCAGTCGGCTGTCCTGCGAAGAAGCAGTGCAGTCCACAGGACGAGAGCACCTCTCGGACAGTGCACTCCAAGAACCCAGTTGACTCAGTGGACCTTTTCACCAGGTTCCACACTCGATCCACTTCCTTTGCGAGCAGCATTCGCAGGTCGGCATAGCTCGTCCAGTTATCCAGATTGCCAGCATCAGTGGGGAACTCGGCGTTCATCACCCAGTACCAGTTGGCAATGTCACCATGGTACAGCGCGGGTGGCCTCTCAGTCTGGATGTGGACCAGTGGCCTTTCGACCACATTGAACGGCCAGTCTCCCATTGTTGTGTCGGGCATCTGTCGCACCAGTGACAGTCGCTGCATTGCTGCAGTTGCCTCTTGCATCAGTTGCTCATTGTGAGCACGCACTGACTCAAGCTCAGTGACGCGCATTGCTTCAATTGCGTCATCCGCCTGCGCAGCCAGTGATGCTTCATTGGCCAGTTGGCGGCCAGTGCTTGCGGATCCCTGGGAGGTGTGCGACATGGCGGCAGTCGATGGAACAGTGAGAAAGCAGAGGGCAGTTAGGCAGTGACCTTTGAGTCGCTCAAAAACACAACATGTAAAACAGTGCAGCCCAAACTTCTATGTACAGTTTTCTTTTCTACACATGACACATGTAAAAGACAGTTTTCCAACTTCGAAGAAAACAGTGAAAAATCGTTTCGAATCGACGAAAACAGTGAACGTGGTTCTCTCCTCTCAGTCTCTTCTTTCTGCACAACAGTACATGCACAACTGCACAGTGACACTCAGCACAAGCAGTGCTTTGCTTGCCAGTGCTCCTTGGGAGCAGTGCTTGTTTGTCTGTTTGTACATGCACAGTGAACAAGACAGTGACACACAACGCACACAGCACAGCAGTGTTGCTTATGTTTATGCTGCAGTGTTGTAAATCCGCAGTGCCTATGGCACGAGGCGTCCAGCAAACGAAACAGTCCTGCAACCAACCCCAAACAGTGCATCAACCGCGGCGCATCATCACGAGCATCAGTACGCGGGCGCACACAAAGGGGGCACGCAAACAGTTAGAACAGGTTACTATGAACGCCTAAGCGTCCTTTCAGTGATGACAGTGTTTCAACGCTGACATATTTGGTGAGCAAATCGGCAGGGTTGTTCAGTGTTCCTACCTTCAGGACCTTGATCAGTCCAGCTTTCACCAGGTCTTGCATATAAAGGAATCTCAGTTCCACATGCTTAGTGCGCTTGCCAGCGCCGAAACGCGTCGCCATAGATTTGCCTGCAGTGGAATCAGTGTACACGTGAACATTGACCTTGCGAGTCTAAAACGATTTAGGGTTCGTTCCAGACCCTTGAACTTGAAACCACTAGCGGGCACTTTTGCTGGGACACGGTCTGTTCAGCAGTCCCTTGAGCCTTGTTGGCAGCAGTGAAACGACAAGGAAAAATACTTCTACAGGGGGGCACATGCCTAACCGAAAAGTTTGTTACCCCCTCTCCGAGTTACACTTCATTGCCTCACATTTCTCATCGCAATTAAGTTCACTCGGATGCAAACTCCTCATCGCTCACTTCGGTCATCCTTTTCCTTTAAACACATCGTGGTGCACACTTCTTTTGTTGGTGTGAAACGTGAAACGAAGAAACTACGCTGCTACTGGTAGCCTCTCTCACTTCTCTTCAAACACATACACAGACGGCTTTTTCAAGACTTCGTCTATAGGTGCGATCTTGCACCTTTAGTTTATTGTCATTTCGGACATCTTTCTCTTCCAAGCCCCCTCAGGGCTTCACTTCTTCTTTTCACTTTCCCCTTTGGGCTTCTTCCCTTTTCCTTTTCCATCTCCTTTCCTGAACTTCTTCTTGTTCTCGTCAAGCAACTTTGCGTACTCGGCCCTAATCTCCTTCTCGTTTTCACGAAAGTACTTCCTGAACTGGGCCTTTGTTCTCTCCGTTCCATCCTCGTTCTTCACATTCAACCACGGGGTGTATTTCCCATTCTTGTCGTAGGAATACCCTGCGTCCCAACACATCATGTAGCTGTGGCCGTGTCGGGAACACAGAATGCAAAGCTTCTTCTTTTTGTCTTCCTCCTCGTCGGTCTCTTCTTCGATGTTCAAAACGAACTTCCCTTCCAGGTTCTCCTGTCCTTTCTCGCTTTTCAACTTCTGGAAGTCACTTTCCAACTTCTTGTTGGTCTCCGACAAACCTTTGATGCTCTTCTTCAAGGTCTTATTCTCCTCTTTCATGCTCTTCGCTTTCTCTTCATCCATGGATCCAACGCTTTCACGCTTCCTCTTCCGGAGCATCTCCAATTCTCCTTTCATCGCTTCCATCTCTTTCTCGTTCTCTTCCTTTTTCTTCTTGAGCTTCTCGTTTTGCTCTTGAACTTCCTGAAGCTCAATTTCCACCTTCTGCTTTCCCAATCGCAAATCCATGAGCTCTTCCTTGATTGCGACGTCCACCTTTGGGTTCAAAAGCGGCGGCCTTTCTTCCTTCTCGTACTTTCGAAGCTCTTTTCTCTTTTCACCCAGCTCTCGCAACGCTTCGGCCAGCTTTGGCCTCAACTCATCCATCTCCTTTTCCAACTCTTCTTCATGCTCCAAAATCTCATCAGCTTGGGCTTCGATCGCTTCACAATCCTTCTTGCTCTTTTCCAACTCATCCTCCAACTTGTCCCACAGCTCGGACAAATTCTCTTTTTCTCGTACCTTCACCGCTCGGTACACCTTCGCCTCCTCGTACCTTTCCGAGGTCGAGGCAAACGCTCTTCGGGCCTCATCCAGCTTCTCCTTTTTCTCCGTTATTTTCCCCAAGAGCTCTTTCACATTTTTCTCTTCTTCGAGCACCTCTTTCTTCGCTGTCTCCTTGAGAATCTCTTGTACATCTTCCTCCTCGCTCGAGGTCTCTTCTTTTTCACCTCCATCTTTCTTCTCTTGGGACTCCTCGTCGGACTCTTCTTCCTTTTTCTCTTTCTCTTTTGGCTGCTTCTCTTCGCTTTTCTCTTGGGACTCCTCGTCGGACTCTTCTTCCAGACTCTCTTTCTCTTCTGGCTGCTTCTCTTCTTTCTTGTCGAAGATCCCTTTCCTTCTCTTCTTTGCTGCTTCCTGGAGCTCTAGCAGCTCGACCTTTCTCTTTTCGACTTCTTTCTCCTCGCTTCCAGCGCTGCTTCCAGGTTTCTCTTTAACTCCATACTTCTCATCCAACTCTTTCACCTTTTCCCCAAGCAACACCAGGTTCTCTCTTGGCCCCGAGCGGCAGAGCTTTAAAGCTTTGTTCAAACGCTCAACTGCCTCAAGGGATCTTGCGTTCATAATCATCTCCTTGAGGGCTGCCTCGTGAGCTTTCACTGCCGCCTCTTCGGTCGCTTCTAAAGCGCTTGGCTGGGCCTCCATCTTTTCTTTTTCTCTCTTTTTCTTTTCCACCTGGCCTTCTCTTTTGCTTGAGCTGAAAACGGCTGCGGACACGCGAAACTTCTCTCTAGCGTACTCTCCAAGCACCGGACTACAAACCATGAAAAGCAACATCATGACCATGATTCCCGTGAACATGTAAAATCCAAAACTCAACTCTTTCTTTTCACTTTTCAACCCTTCACTTCCTTGAACCATTAACATCATCACGATTCTCCTCAGATACTTCTTCGGGATCTTGAACTCCGAGGCTCCTTTGGGCTCCCTGCTTTCTTCTCCTGTTCTCACGCCCATTTTTTCTAAACACTTCACAACCAAACTTCTTGTCAACGCCTTTGTTCCTACGTCCGAGGGGTTTTCGGTTCCTTTGATTGCTTTCACTTTCAGGCCTCGTCCGGTGAGTTGTTGAACCCACAACAATCCGGCATCAACGTGCCTCGTTCTTCCAAATCCTTTCTTCATGAGGATTGCTCGGGCGCTACTCGAATCCATGTGGATCCTCATTTCCGGCTTGATCTTCAGAACTCTTTCCAGCAAATTCTGGAGAAAAACTCCTTCACTCAAACCTCCAACGGCTGCAACCAATTCGCTTTCGCAGCTGCTCAAGGCTGTCGCTTTTTGCTTTCTTGCATGAAAATGGACCAAATTTCCATTCACAAAGATCAATGCACAACTCGTTGATTGTCGCGTCTCTCTATCAGTCGCCCAATCGGCGTCGGTCACAACCTCGATCAAACTCTTCGCGGTAAACACGTCTCCGCTTTTCTCGTCGAAACGCATTTCTTCTTCGATTTCATTTCTCTCCAGGAAACTCTTCCCAGGGTGCGACTCCATGTGTTCAATCACATAGTGTGACGTAGCTTTCACATACTTTGCCACATGCCTCAACACTGCGAGGTCACCTCTTGTCGGTGTCGCCAACTTTCCAGACAGCCACTTCGTCGCAAACCCTAGGTCGGGTCGCTCGGGGGTCATGTACAACAGGATCCCCACACAAGACCTATACAGATGGTGCTCTTCCGCGTTCAGCGGGGTCTCATCTTTCATCGATCTCCCATAGTCTGTTGGAAACGGGAGTTTCTTTGGATGTGCTTTTCCGAGCCCTAAAAGCTCTTCCAATCTCTCCAGATACTTTCCGTCCATCCGGATCTCAATTCCTCCGGGTATCCCGAGGAAAGTTCGCTTCAAGAAGGTACACTTGCCTTCTCCAACTTTTACTGGTCCTTCCAGCTTGATTTTCAACTTGTGTTTCAGTAGCAGTGAAACCACTGCATTGTTCTCTTCGGGCTTTCCGAACACTTCCAGATCATCCACATGTGTGCTCATCAAAGTTCCTCCTTCACTTCCGCACGGTAACTTGTAGAAGAAACTTGGTAACCCGATATCCGAAGTCATTTTCTCTTCTTCCAAGATCTTCCTCAGATGCTCGAACCAGTCACTGCTTCCGGTTCGCTGACCGGGTAAGGTAAACTCCAGCTTGTACCATTTTCCTCCCAGGCTAACCACTGTGTACTCCTTCTGGGGTACCTGAAGATACGCGTCAGAGATGTCAATCGAGATCATCTCATAGCCTGGTGAACTTGCACAAAGTGCAGAAAGCAATTTAATGCTTGAGCTTATGCTCGTCGGGGAGTACAGGGCTGTGAGGTCATAATCCGTCAACCAACGGTATTCTCGTGCAACCAACCTTGCACGTCTTTTCCACTGGCCCTGCCTGTGTCTCCAGTCTAGGACGTACTTCGTGCTCAACTGCTTTGGCGCTTTACCTTCTGGCGTGGGCACTGGCTCTCCTTTTTCATCAAGCACAGCTTCTGTGAGCACTTTCATTTCCAAGAGTCTCTCTATCTCAGTTCTTTCGGATTTCGCATCGACCTTTTCCAAGTCCTCTCTGTCGAGCTTTGGTGGCCCATCGTCATACTCATGGGACCATGTCATTCGTAAGTCTTCGCTTGACTCCTCGGTCTTCTCACTCCATTTTTCTTGCCACTCTTTTGTCTCTTCAAGGAACATCTTTGTCTCTTCCAGATCAAGGAGCTCATCTCCGTGTTCCTCAGGCTCTTCACTCTTTTCAAATCTTCTAATGTGGTAGTGAACCACTTCTGCACTCAC